AAGAGACTTTTTCTCCTGGTTCTAGAAATTACTCTTTAAGGATTGTAATGGCTTTGGTGGCTCATTTTGATCTTTAGATTCACCAAATGGATGTTAAAACAACCTTTTTCAATGGAGATTTGGAAAAAGAGAGATATATGGATCAACCTTAAGGTTTTGAGACCACAAGTGAAAGAAATCTGGTATATAGGTTGAAGAAATCAATCTATGGATTAAAATAAGCTTCTCGATAATGGCACTTGAAGTTTAATGATACTATATTGTCATATGGCTTTATAGAAATGATCGTTGACCGGTGTATCTATATGAAAGTTGTGGGAAGAAAGTTTATAATGCTTGTGTTGTATGTAGATGATATTCTTCTTGCTGCTAGTGATTGTGGGTTATTGCATGATGTTAAGGGTTATCTTTCTAGAAACTTTGAGATGAAGGATATAGGTGAGGCTTCCTATGTGATTGAAATAAAAATATTTCGGGATAAATTACAAGGAATTTTGGGATTGTCTCAAAAGGCTTACATCAACAAAAACTTACATCAACAAAAAATCTAGAAAGATTTAAGATGAAATCATGTACACCTAGCCCAGTTCTCATCCAGAAATGAGACAATTTCAGTCTATCCCAATGTCCCAAGAATGACATGGAGCGCAAAGAAATGGATAATATCATTTATGCTTCTTTGTTCGGGAGTTTGATGTATACTTAGACCTATACTAGGCTAGATATCAGTTTTATGGTCGGTATGTTGGGTTGTTATCAATAAAATATTGGATTGATTCATTGGAGAGTTGTAAAGAAAGTTTTAAGGTACTTGCAAGGTACTAAAGATCACATGCTCACATATAGAAGAACTAGTAACCTTGAGGTTGTTGGTTACTCGAATTCAGACTATCTAGCGTGTTCGAATACCTGAAAGTCTACATTCAACTATGTGTTCCTTCTAGCTGATAGAGTTGTCTCATAGAAGAGTGGTAAGTAGTATGTCATTGTTACTTCTACTATAGAGGCTGAATTTATAGCATGTTTTGAAGCTACAGTTCAATCGTTATGGTTGCAAAATTTTGTTGATGGTTTAGGCATCGTTGGTACCTTTGCTAAACCAATGAGGATTTATTGTGCTAATGCGACAGTTGTATTCTTCTATAAGAACGATAGATACTCCAAGGGTGTGAAACATATGGATTTAAAGTATATGTCTATCAAAGAAGAGGTGTAAAATCAAATAGATCAAATAGTGCACATTGGCACCAATGATATGATTGTGGATCCGTTGACTAAAGGATTAACTCCTAAGACATTTATTGGTCATGTTAGTGAAATGGGAGTAATCGCGTAGTCCTTGTATAGCGGATGATTAGTCATACATGTATGAATATATGTCTTGTTTGTTTGATACTCTAGATATCATGTTATGTATTGTTTGTTTGATACTCTAGATATCGATGTTTGTTCGGATTTTGCTTATCTATGAATCATATTTCAGTTATGCATATTTTTTTTATGATTATAGATGTTAGATCTTATTTTTAAGATATTGTCGGATAAGATATTTTCAGGTGTCTATCTTATTAAATTGTGTCTGTTTGAATTGGATTGACCTGTAATAAATGGAAGGAATCGGGATGTTTTCCAGTCAATTATCGCCATGATTCGGTTAGTTTAGTTCTTACGAAGATGTGACTTGTATATTACATTATTTAAGTGAGCTAAAATTATGTTAATATGTTATATACTTGTCATATATGAATCAAGTGGGAGAATGTTAGAAATTTTGATTTCTAATATTGATTCATATAATTTAAGTAATTGATAATTGGTGTTATTGAACACACGGTGATGATTAGTGTGGTATGGAGAAGGCAATTATCGGGTGTAAATCCCTCCGTCCCATATCGTAAAAATATAAGTTTGAGTGATGTTATTTGTAATTGAAAAGTAAAAGGGTCTTTCGGTTATTTTGTGATTTAAAAAATACATTAAAATCGGTTTTTTCAAAATCTCACGTAGCGTACAGTTTTTTTTCTCAAGGCTCCTTTTTCTTTCTTAAAAGAAAACAAGAACATTATTTGTTTTGGGGTTTTGATTCTTTCTTCAAAAATCAAACAAATCTTGATATCATCACAAGGCGAATTAATGATTATTTAGTATTGAGATTGGATAGCATTTATTATTTCTTGCTTTTGGGATATTCAACTATCATAATGGAATCATCAAATAAATTTTCATTTCTTTTACTGTAATCTTTAATAATTATGCCATGAGCTTTATTTGGTTGATTTAATTACCCTATCAAGATTCTTACGTGTTAATTGCTTCCACATGCAAGATTAATTGATTTTAATAATGTAAAGTACACAAATGGTCCTCAATTATAGGGTTGCTTTATTGAGTATCTTAACTATTAAAAATTATAAAATGATCCTCTAATTATAGAGTTTTTTTACATTACTCCGACTGCTAAAAGTTATAAAATAGTAATTCGACTATTCATATATTTTAAACTCGTCATTTTCCGTTAAAAAATTGATGATCATCTTTAACTTATTGACTGAATATGATAAAATCAATATGAAGTCTATTGATTATTTATGCGGTTCTGTTTTGGCCATTCAACTATTCATTTTTCAAAATTATACCTAATGTTACATTTTGGTCATCTGATGTTAAAAAATTAATAGATCTACTAATGTGATGCTCTTTTTATTTTTTCCAATGATAATGTGATATTACCTTATGATGACATGTCAGCATCGCAGTTGATTTTTTAACGATAGATGACCAAAATATAACATTAATATGATTTTAAGAAAATAAATCAATTTAGTGACTAAAACAAAACCACAAAAATAATCTACTGACTAAATAAGTAGCTTCCCCTACATTAATTGAAGAGCATAATTAAATGTGGATTATACTTGGTCCAACTGTTTATATTTGACCGTTTAAAAAATATAAGAAGTCGTTAATTATGTTTAAATTATTATTTTTTATATTAAACTTTTAGAAGTTGTAAAATTAGTTTGTTTACATAATTTAGTCATATAATTTTTGATGTATTAATCAATTTTATTAAAAATATAGAGTGCTCACTTTGTTTTGTTTTATTTGATAAAAAAAGGATTAAAACAAAATAATTGAGTGGAATTGGTCAAAAAAGGACAAATAGAAAACAAATTATCAAAACTTAAAAATAGAGACAATGTCATTATCGGGAAATTATACGACAGTCTTAATATACGGTTAAGGAAAGACCTTATCAGTTTTGTTATTATTTTTTTTAACAAAACCGGTAAAATTACCTAAAACATTATTATTTCTACCTAAAACATCAATGTTTTTTAACATTTCCGATAAAGTGCTAACAATAACAAAACCGGTAGAAAAATAACAAAACCAGTAGCGTTTTACCGGATATGTTAACAAAACCGGTAAAACACTCAATAATTAGAAATAATTTTTTCGTTTTTTACCGATTTAAATAATAACAAAACTAATAGCATCTTTCCTTAACCTTATATTATACCTGCCAGAGACTTTCTCGACATTATCAGTTCCTATTCCAACCTTAGAAATATTCGTTATATCACAATCATGAAATATATATACCTAATTTATACATAAATTGTATAAATTTATTTTTTTATTTTTTATAGTATACTTGACTAAAAATATTAAAATTTTATCATTTTTGCATCACAATATATATATATAACATTTTTTAATTTTTTAAATTTTTTTTATAATTTTAAATATTTATTGACTTGGTATGTAAAATAAATATTATCACGTTAGTATGAAATACTTATAGATTATCATGCGATCATTAAAAATAATAATTTAATCAATTTTTTATGAAACTATTCTACCTTTTTTTTAAAAAATTGAAGATCAAATTAAATTAAAAATTCTAATAATTGATTTGATAAATGTAAATATTGATAGTTAAATTTTATTATATTTTTAATTAGAATTTAATAAATTCAATCTAATTTTTTCTTATTTGCCCTATTCAAAGATTCTTCTGAATTGAATTTGATTATTAATTGTTACTGAAAATTAAAGATAATTCCTAGTATGTGTTATTTTATTGGATATGTCAACATCCTAATAAATTCACTTAATGCCCAACACAAATGACATAATGTGAAGGTTAATACCCAACGGTTAATAAATAATCATTTTGAATTTTATTTTTTTAAAACATTTTAACCTTTAATATTTCATTTTAAGAGAAAAAATCATTAATATTTAATAAAACATTAACCCTTATTAGATTCAAAATAACTATTTTAAAGTATCAACCGTGTGTTAACTAACGATTTTCATTTATAGATAAGACTTTTTATCTTAAAATGAAATCCTAAGGTTAAAATATTGAAAAAATAAGAAGCAAAATGATTATTTTGATAAATAATGAGAGCCAACTTCAGTATCATGTCAATAAACTTATCACAAACAAATTTGTTTTAATAACTCGAAGTAATTATAAAATAGTGTCTGTTCAAAAAATTTCTTAACCATTGACATTACACACACCCTGCAAAAACAGTCGCTCGAACCCAAAACCTCTAAAAAAAAAACTAACACTCTTTTTAACCCTAACTTTATTCTTACAAATGCTTTTAGTGACAGAGAATTAGTCTACGGAACAAATCTATTGGCTTGTATATCTTTGTTGACTTATTATATAAATAAAAATTTCTACTTTAAAGAATTTTGAACTATTTTTAATAATAAAATTATTAGTATAAAATACATTTTATCATTCATGAATTGTCAACTAGGGTTTGATGGGGTCTAAATAGTTTCCTCTTCCTCGCACCCTACAAACTCAGATGCTCGAATTCAAGACCTCTAAAGAGAATAATATTCCCTTCTGCCACTTAGGCCACTTTGATTGATAATTATTGCTTAAAAGAAAAATCATTATATGTTCGGGAAAAAAGAATAAAAATAATAATTTGGAAAAGCAGAAAAAAACTACATGAAGACATGACAACTTGAATAAGCATAATAAATTGTTAAATCTGATGAAACATGTCATAATTGTCAAATATAATGATATTTCATAGTTTACAACCAATCCTTTAAAGTGATGATGATGGCAACTCACAACTGAATGTGTTCTTAAATCAGATTCAGTGTTGCTTCACGGACTAAGAAAACGTAGAACATATTCACAAACTTGTTCCAGAGCATTAAAAATACCTGGTAGTTGATTTGGTATCACCGTACTCCGATCACGATGACGACGATGTCCGTGGCAGTCTCTTAGCGATTTCCTGTCATGTAGATAAGAAGCCTTCAATCCAGATTCATAGATAAAAACCTTGACAATCTCAATCTAAGTCATTTGGACTTAGGCGTCTAACACGGGTGTTTCATAAAAAAAATTAAGATTTAGAGAGCAACATAGGTGAAAACAACTAAGTAGGGTTGATAATGCATTTAGATGACCAACAAACTTAGTGCATTGATGGCTAAAGTAATCCATTGACATGAATAGAGGTTATCGATAACAAGAAACGAATTCGTAAGATGGACAAGTACCCGTAAGTGCACATAAAAAGAACAAAACTGATTTTGGAGGCATCAACGACTACTACTCGAAATTGAATAGTAATTACATGCTAGTAGCAGCAAATCTATATTCGAATGCTCTTGGCAAGTTTGAGCAAATAACTTTTTGATACCATCAACATTAACTCTAATGCTACATTTGGTTGGAGTGTTAATTTTTTTCCTCATGTTTTAGTACCAGTTAGCAATAAACTACCTTCACAAGGTAATTTTTAGCCACTCACATGACTTAATTTGAACAAAGATAAGGAATGTTTTAAAGAAAACGTTGTTCTCACTAAAGGAACCGGATTCGAGCAGCTGCGTCTGCAGGGTGTGTTATTAATTGGTTAAGAAAGTTTTGAACAGATACTCTCTCGTATTCACCCCAAACTATTAAAAAAAAAACAAATATAAGGAATATATATTGCTTATTTTGAATAGGTACTATTTCTTACTTGAGTTTTTACTCATCTTACAGCCAACTAGGTGTTAGTGAGAGAAGCTCCTCCTCTCTAAAAATCAGGTGTTTTAGATAAAATTTTTCTGTTTTTATTCCTTTTCATTTCTCTTGATGGCGAGTAAGGTGAGAGTTCCTGTTAGGAGAAATTGTGTCACAGTGATCATTTTCAACATTCCTGAGAGTTTCATTACCAAGGTCTTTGGTTATTTTTCGATAAATATGACGAGGTGGTTGATTCTTTCATCCCTAATAAAAGAAGCAAGGGAGGAAGTAGGTTTGGTTTTGTTCGTTTCACCAGACTGGAGGACGCGAGGAAGGCTATCAACTGTGTTGATAGATCTTGGATTCAAGGCAACAAAGTTAGAGTTTTCATGGCGAGATATCATCCTCGTGATGTTTTCTGGAGGAAGAAGTTCTCTGGTCCATATCCAGTCGAGGGCAAGAGTGTAGTGAAGGATGTTAGTCATACGGAGGCTCCCTTTGTTGGTTCTGTTGACGAGAGTAAGCTCTCGACTCTCAAAGACAGCTTGGTAGGATGGTGCAGAATTTTTATTAAGTGGGTAGAGTCGTCTTCGTTGGAAGAGGCAGTTGCATCCCCGTTATCCAAGGTGGGGGAGCTCGTTGGTGTCTCTCCAGTTAATTTTCCCGAGCTGGAGGTGGGTGCTGAAGAAGCAGGATGATCCGTGCACTCTTCGGAGGTGCAGTCGGCCGAGAGGTGTTCTGAGAAAGAAGAAAAAATTTTCTGCTGTTTGGGGACTAGTGCTAGAGGCAACTTCTTGTCGGGTGAGGGTATGGAGGACAGGAACATAGGCGAGGAATTGACGATGGGTCCGAGGAGTGCCGTTGTGGGTCAGGGGATGGTTCTTTCGCAACTTGAGGAAGTGGGGGAACACGAGACATTGCTGGTGCACGCGGAGAGAGAAGCAGTGGATGTCTTTAAGGACAGTTGCTTGCCTGCACGTGGTTATGAGGGAAGTAAGGATTATTTAATTAATTTTCCCATCCTGGATGGTCACTTAGTGTCGAGGGAATTGGAAGATGTGAGCCTAAAGGATAAAGTGGATCTGTTGGTTCACGCGGAGAGGGAGAAAGAAGATGCCTACAGGAAAAGTAGTGAGCTTGCATGAGGATTATTATAATGATTTCCCCATGTTGGATGGTCGGGTTGAGTCAAGGGTGGTGGAGGATGGGATTCATGAGGGCCTTTCTTACAACTACGCATACATAAATCCAAAGGGTAACGCAAGGCAGTACATGAGACCTAAGAAGGGTTTTGGCAACAAATATAGATCTGACCAATTTTTTCAAGAGAATTTTACAGCTCCCAAAAGAAAGTATAGGGGTTACCGAAGCAAGAGACATCAGAGTAAGGTGCAGTGGGAGGAAGAGGTGTCTGTTATTGATGGCAGATTCATATATGATTCTGACTTTCCAGCATTGGGGCAGTCTCAATAGAAGGATGCGATCGATTCCTTACAATTTGGGAAAGAATTGGGTTGTGAGTCTAATGGCTCAGTAGTGTATCTGATTTCGGAAGACTATGGTGGGGGAAGGAGTAGAAGTTTCAGGTGATCTGCATCATGCTTATTGTTTGGAGCTGGAAGTTCGGATGGTCTTAGTCGACAAGACGAGTTAATGTGGTGGAAAGGCGGCTATGTGTGTGTTTTTTTGAATTCTTATCATGAGAAAGCATGGTGGCTTTTGAGTTAGAAGTTGGCTTCTATGGTTTTAGTCAGTTGTTACCCTTGGCTTTTATTATGGTTGTTTTGTTTTGTTTGGGCATCTATCGGGCCACGTTTAGGCTTTGAGTTTGACCAGTCTGCTTTTTAGGCTGTTGTTGTTGCTTTGTTGGATTAGGCCGGTTCTGGTAAGATTGTTTGAGGTTGTTTTTGGTGTTTTGTTTATATTGGGGGTGGCTCCCTGGTTGTATCGTGTATTTCCTATGGTTAATGAAATCTTAAGGCACTCTTTTCCTCCTCCGCTGATTAAGGAGCTTCTCTATAAGCTCCTTTAATCATGAAGGAGGTTTTTAACGAGACCTTCAATTCCTATAAAAAAAAATTTTACTCATCTCACTTCAAGTTTAGATTTATGCCAATTCGTCTTTATTTTACACAAACTATTTTAATACTCATGTAAAAGTAAGAACAATGATGCTTAATAACTATTGAAATTCAAAACACCTTGCATCAAATATAGACTAAAACCTAACTATGAGATTGCTTATGTGATCAAATTTAAGTTTCTATCTTTAGTAACTTGTATAAAATCTTGACCTAGTCAATTGTCATGGAATGCGGAAATAACCATTCTATGCAAGTTCAAGAATCAATAAACGTGCTCACACGGTATCAATAATTATTCATGAACTATTTAATTGCACTTTGGGACATATTGAAGAAATACCTCAAACAACTGATTTATATTGTCTGCAGTCTTGGCAGATGTCTCGATAAAGAACATTCCGTTCTTCTCTGCATAGTCAACGCCATCCTTCAAGAATTAAACAGAACACATTAGAAGATAGTTCAACATGCATAAAGGTATCTCTGTTCATATAATTTTGGCACTAACTTGGACTTGGACTTCACGTTTCTCTTGAAGATCGGCTTTATTACCAACCAAAGCCATCACGATACCTGGGCTCCCATGCTTTTGTAGCTCCTGACAGATAATAAAACACATTAATATTAGAATTTTCAGTAATATTCTTTATAAAAGAAAAAGAAGTCTATATCAAAGACGATATTTCATGGAGAAAACCAAAAGACCTTTTGAAAATTCATTAATCCAAAAGAATTAAGTTCTTTTCGGCATAAAAGACAGAAAAATTCGCACTTGAACTGCAAGACAATCTTCCTGAGACAACTAGTTTATGCTTTTGCATAGAAATATGAGGGGAAAATTGATATTTCGGAAAATGAGAAACATTAAAATGTGGATGACAGATGCACCAAAACTGGGTTCTATGCAATTTGCAGTTTTGCACTATTAAAGACGACAGATACAGTTGGTAACTTAGATCTTCCGTGTAATATGTTATCATGCCAAGAATACTACTCCAAAACCATGAAAACTGTCATTTGAAATTTTATCACAGCCAAAAATTTTCACATTCTAAAATGAAGCAATAAAAATCCTAGAAAAAAAAAACAATATTGCAGTCTCAGAAACTACCTTAACCCAATATTGTGCTTTGGCAAAAGACTCAGGACTAGTTATATCATACACAATAACTGCAACTCCTGCTCCTCTGTAGTACAGAGGTGCCAGTGCAGCATACCTGAGGAAGACAAATTAAACAATTAGCTCTTTCCTTCCAAAGGAGTGATCATAGCAAAGTAAAATGCATAACATAAACTAAATTGTAATCTAAATTACAGTGAAAAGCATGCAGTGATGATCACAATATCAACATGGTATTCGAGAATTATACCTCTCTTGTCCAGCTGTATCCCATATTTCAAACTTAACAGTGGTTGAATCTTGCAAAGCTATTGTCTGTGACAAGAATGAAGCTCCTACGGTTACCTGAAATGATAAAGTGTTGACAAGTCAGAAAAATTTCATCGGAGCAGAACTTTTTCACCCTCATAAGATGCTTACACCAATCAGTTTGAATATGGTTGGACAAAATGAAGCTCAAAAAGAAAGCCAGATGGCAATATTATAAGTTGATGGCTTAATAGGAAACTCCTAACCTTGGATGTAGGATCAAACTGGCCACGGACAAAGCGCAGAACAATACAACTTTTTCCAACTCCAGAATCACCTAACAAGACCAGCTGGGTGTAGCAAAATGATATTGAAATTTCAGTTGCATCAGTAGGACGTAATTAAAGGAGATCATGTAGAAAATTACACTTGTTAAAATTCAGTTTTCAGAATCCAAAAACAGGTAATATAGTGAATCTTTTAAATAATAATTTCACGATTAAATGATAAATATGAGCCACCAAACATGCTAAGCAAACTACCACCGTTGTTAAAGTCACTGTGCCTTAGCACCAGATGAAACAAATTCACCGGACCCTTTCAACCGAGGTACATTTTTCATTAACGGTATGATTACTAATGAGACGGAATATAATATCAAACACTTTATAGCTCAATATTCGAATATTCAACAACATTTATAACTCAATATTCTAATATTGGACAAGACGACAACACTTACAGCTCAATCATCGAATATTCAACGACAGAGACATGGACCTGAAAGAAAAATTTACCTTTACGCGCAGATTTTTATCATCAGGACCTTCAGAGTTGTCTCCGTTGTTAAGTCCAGTCGACCGCCCGGAACTCCGATCTACAACCAATAAAAAACGACCCCAAAACAAAAGAACCATTTTTTTAACAAAAGCCATTATAACCCAAAGCTAAGTACAAAATCCCCAATTAAATCACCATCTACCAAACCCCACAATTCAGGAATCAAATTAGAACAACTTCTCAGCTCAAAACCCAAATAAATAAACCAAATTAAAGAGAAAAAAACAACCCTTTACAGACGAATAATAAAAACACTATAAAAATACCCAAAATAAAAAAAAAGAAATCAAAGTATTCGGGTAAGGATTTTACCTGGGACAGACGAAGAGCAGCCCATAAAGAACCAAAAACTAATTTAAATTTCTATGTGATAATTCAAATTAGAGCTTCGAATCAGTAGAATAAAGTTAAGAATTTGAGTTTTTTTTTTTTGGGATTTGATTTCTAGTGCATAAACTGGAATCGGAAATTCCGAATTGCAAAAGGGGTTAATGCAGGTTAGTGGGAAGCTTCCACCGGGTTCGTCGTCTATTTAGGCTTAGAGCCAAATATTAATATCCTTTAGGGTAAACTACATCATATATCACTAAACTTTAGGTGTTATATCTTTTAAATTACTAAACTTTAGGTAGTATATCTTTTATACTACTGAACTTTTAATTTTGACAATTGTAACACTAAACTTTGATTTCATTTTAATTATATCATTAAATCGTTAAATCGTTTACGGCAAGATGATGTGACTGCCGACTGTCGATATAGACACCTCACCAAAATGATGTCATTTTCATCCGGCAATTAAGGATTTAATAGTTTAGAGGTATAGTTGAAACGAAAATTCAAGTTTAGTGTTATAATAGGTAAAATTAAAAGTTTAGTGATATAAACGATACAACACCTAAATTTTAGTCTTAATTAGTGTAGTTTACCCTATCCTTTGTAATATAGGATAAACTATGGAGTTTTATATCTAAACTATTGTTTTTGTTCTATTTTCATATCAAAATTTATTTTTTAAATCATATTTAATGTTTAGTTTGAATTTTAATTTGGTATCATGTCGTTAAAAATTTAATAGAACTATGATGTGATATTTTTTATTTTGTTTCAATGATGACATGATACTAATTTATGATGACTTATGAATATCATTGATAAATTTTCATTGGACTATCACAACAATATCTAAATTAAACATTAGCTATAATTTAAAATAATAAAATTTAAATATTAAAAATAATATTTTAGATACTAAAAGTATAATTTATAATATATGCATCTTAGCCCAGTCTCAATTAATTTTTAACTAATACTCTCTTTGTTTCGTTAAATTTATCCATTATTGACTTTTTGGTCAAAACTTTTCAACCTTAACTCATTATCATTTAAAATGTATTACTAATACAAATATGAAAAAATATATTTTAAAAATATTCAATTAAATAGTTTTTAGATATATATATTTTATAAAATTTAATTATATGAAATAATCATAGTCAAAGTTTAAAAAAATTACTTTTAAAAAATCAAAAGAGACAATTTTGACTTGATTGAGAAAGTTATTTTTATAGTGGATCTATATAATATTTAATTTAAATTAATCGATCAATGTATCGAATATTAATGAATAAACCAAAAAATGAAACCTTTTTTATTGTCATTAAAATAAAACTCCATTGGACCATTAGTAAAAAAATATTCTAAATCAAACTTTACATACTAAAGTAGCCCAAACTTCACCGGGAAGTTATACCGTGCGACAACTTTAATATACAGTTAAGGAAAGACACTATCAGTTTTGTTATTATTTTTTTAATATTTTCGGAAAAAATTACCTAAAATATTATTATTTCTACCTAAAATATTAATATTTTTTAACATTTCCGGTAAAGTGCCCAATAATAACAAAGCGGGTAGAAAAAAATAATATTTTAGGTAGCACTTTACCAGATATGTTAACAAAACCGGTAAAGCACCCAATAATAAAAAAACTGATAAAATAATAATATTTCTGATAATTTTTTACTGAAAATATTAAAAAATAATAATAACAAAATCGATAACACATTTCTTTAAGTGTATATTAAGAATTCACCTCATGAAGGCCTAAATCCAACAAATGAATTGTGGGTTTTGATTGAACACATTTCTAGAGTAATCATCAAACGTTTTTCCAAGTGTCGTACACCAAGAGTTGATGAACCGTTAAATATATTTAGAATTATCTTTTTAGGAATAGATTGTAAGAGTGTGGGTGGTAAACAAGCAGAGTCCGATTTTATTTGAAAAGTTTAAATATGGATTCCACTCGAAAATTTCGTGAGCTTAAAATTATCATGTTCGACTTAAACTCGAAATGAAAAACTGATGATCGACTCGAGTTAAAAAGAACTTGAAATTGAAATATTTTTAGGAGGTCGATTGAAGTTTGAACTCGAGCTCGAATTTGAACCTTAAGCACATGAAAACTTTATATTGTATTTAAAAACAATATATAATATTAAATATTATTAATAATTTAATATATTATTTTTCTGAGTTGCTTGTTAGTTTGTAGAGTATTAAAAAACTCGGTTCAGCTCATTAAAAACTTGAGTTAAGCTACGAGTGTTAACTAAATTTTGACCAAATTAAATTCAAATAACTCACGGTTTGTCTTATCTTATTTAGGGATGTAAATGAACATAATGCCTAATAAACTGTTCGTGAACCACTCCTATAATATTTGTTTATTAAGCTAAATAAACGAGTATGAACAAAATTTTTATGTTCGTTTAATAAACGAACATACACGAATAGTGTGTTCGGTTTGTTTATGTTCATGAACAAGCTAGTTAGAAGCTCGTTTATTTTTTTATATTTTGAATATTAGTGAAGATACTTACTAAATTGAATATATGATTAAATTTGGAGTTCAAACTATGAATCTTAAGAAGTTTAAGCATTAGTTGTGTAGTTTTACCACTTTCCCTATTATAACACACACAAAAAACATTTCCCCGTCGCTCTCTTTTCCGTTTTATTCTAAACAAACATGTTCGCGAACAATAAGTGAATATGTTCGTGAATGATAAATGAGCATATTATCGAACGTTAAACAAACACGTTCTCGAACGCTACATGTACATATAAACGAACATATTCACGAACATTAAACAAACATATTAACAAACGTTAAATAAATTAATACGATACTAACAAATTAAACGAACACGATACTAACAAATTAAACGAACAGAGCATGAACACCTTCAGAAATAAACAAACGAACACAAATATAACTTTGTTCATTCAAGCTCGATTCATTTACTCACATTCTTATTTACAACCCTGCACGAACAACTCACCCACTTCAAAAATTAAAGAATTTGTGTTCCATGAAATTTTTAATTCATGTTCAATAGCATTAGTGGACCATAAGGAGGGTCATGACTCCAAAATTTTGAGAAATTTGTTTGAAGCTATTTAAAATTTTTGAAAATTTTAGTTGAAATTTCTAATTTTTTATGATGTTTTATTAAGTCTAATAAGTTTTAAAAATTCTCACTAAATCTCACAAAATTATTGAAAATTTTAATTAGGCCCCTAATAGGATTTCTTGAATTCTTGCCTTTTATGTTTCTTTTTTACTTGTATTATTTTTTTTATAATTTTGTAATATACATAAGCCCAAAATTCCAAGTCCAAATCTAAATTTCAAAATTCCTATTCATATTAATAGTTTAATTTAAAATCTAGGTAACTAAATTACATTTAACTCATCGTACTGGAATCAAATCATTTCGAAATTATTAGCTTAAATCAGTAGAGTTGACGACACATTAACAGAATGATCGAAATAGAATGATACTGATAGTTCGATGATTGATATAGAATATTTTAATGTTTCAGATCAGTTCAAAATGGTAATCATAATTTAAAGACTGATATAGATTTAAAATTTAAGAACTAATTTAGAATAAGAATCACAGTATGGATCTTCTTCCAACTTTTAACATAGCTAGAGTTAAATCAATTTGGTCATGATGGTGTTGTTGTTTTGCATGTTAAATCAAAGGGAAAAAAAGATGGGTTAGTTCACGAACCATACATTGACGCTTCATGCTTGCCGGTTGAGGCACTATTGATTCTCATCCCTTTCATTAATGAGAGCGGGAGAGATAGCTTTCGCATGTTTGTCAGATGTGTAACGCAAGTCGTTCCTAAATAGTCAAGACGAAATCTTAAAATCGGGAAGATGACAAAAAGAAAATAGTATTATATTTATAAAAAAATTTGATTGAATCATTCGATTTTCAGATTTAATTTTCAAATTTTTTCTTATCCATTTGTAGCAATTCACTTTTTTTTTTGAATTAATCACTGGTATCTAATCTATTGACCGACTAATTCAGATCAAGTACTGCAAAAGCGAGGACGACCCTCCCAACCCAGTTTGCTCCATTCACAAACGTCAGGGTTCAAACCTCTGACCTTACTTAAGGGACCTAGTGCCTTATCCCACTAGACCAACTGATCTTAGGTGCAATTCACTCTTTTTAATTATAAAGAAAATAGAATTATATATATATATATATATTTTGAGAAACCTAGGAGTTCTTGAAGGAACCACTACATGCAACCTAAGAGATGGCGACTAAAGTTCTATCAATGTACAAATTCAACAACAACAACAATGAAAAAAATGCAAGAATTTGACATGTATGGTCATATTTTGAGCTCTTGAATGGACAAACCAACTTACAAGGAGACATTAACACCTGAAGTTTAAAGATAACTGGGTCCCATTCTTTGGCAATTTAGTCACATTTCTTTTTTATAATAACTCAATCAATCAATATCAGAACCCAATCTCTAAGCTGTAGTCGGAAAGAACCCTAGAAAAATAATGGACTCAATAGTTCAATCTGGCATTTGATTTTGAGACCAATCCATTTCCCACAATTAATGGAAGAGATAGACCGACGCAAGATTTTATGTCGGGGATAAACTTATAAAATTTCAGGGGACGAAAATAAATTTTCAATAAAAATATATAATTTTTTTAAAATATATGGTAATTTTAAAATTCCAGGAGGCAACCATCCCCACCCGTCTCTAGGGATGGGCATGGGACCCAAACCTGACGGGTTCCGACCCGACCCGATCAGGTCAATTTTTTTTTTAAATTTGAGTTCGGGTCGGGTCAGGGTCGGGTTCGAGTTTAGGGTGAAAAATACTCGACTCAACCCGAAAAAATATAATTTTACCTTATATATTTAGGAATAATTACAATAATACCCCTCTATATATTATTTTTTCAATTAAGTCATTGTTTTATTGAATAAAAATATTTTATTATTATTTCGGGTCGGATAGGGTTTTTAAGTTATATACTGGGTCAAGTTCGGATCGGGTGAAAACTTGTTTTAGTCGGGTTGGGTCGGTTCTCAGGTCGGATCGGGTGGACCAAAAACCCGACCCATGCCCATCCCTACCCGTCTTCCCCGGATACATCCC